AAATAATGTTGTGGTGAGGTTGTCTAAATATCTGAAATTTATAGAGCTTCCCGTCCATGGGGTTGGAGAGACGTTTATACAGATCAGTCACAGTGGTGTGAGGATGAATGACATTGTGATGTTGCCTGGTCTGTTTCTGCATGGTAGGTACTCAATTTTTAATTTTTCCAACAAATACAGAGCTCATATGAATGATGGGTTTAAGAGAAGACTCTAGGGGCCGGCCTGGTGGTGCAGTGGTTAAGTGCGCACGTTCCGCTTCTCAGTGGCCCGGGGTTCACTGATTCGGATCCCGGGTGCGGACATGGCACTGCTTGGCAAAAAGCCATGCTGTGGTAGGCGTCCCACGTATAAAGTAGAGGAAGATGGGCATGGATGTTAGCTCAGGGCCAGTCTTCCTCAGCAAAAAGAGGAGGATTGGCAGTAGTTAGCTCAGGGCTAATCTTCCTCACCAAAAAAAAAAGAGAAGACTCTATTCCAGTATTGGTTCTACAAGACAACTCTGCTGCCAAGTCTTCCACTTATCTTTCCTGTTTTCTCTAGATACATCTAGCTTTCTGATTTACTTCCTCCTTGACTGAATCATTGTCTTTTCTGAGCATTTCTGTGTATGTTCTTTCCCAACTAGTTTGCCTGCTTTTATATCTATTCTTCTTTTGTACCCCATGGGTGTAGAATTCTTAGAAACCTATAATCACTGATTCTTTAGGATAATCTATCCATTTTGTGCTTCTGTGACCCAACACACTTGTATGTCCTTCCACTATTTCTGTTCTGCCCCTTTATTTCGATCCTTTTTCTTCATTTTTGACCTTAAATCTTTATCTCTAAAGACCCTTTATCTCTCTTCCCAAGCCTGCAACTTCCTTCTAGACATTTCCATCTAGGACGTCTCACCATCATCCCAGAGTCACAGATCCAAAATTTAAGTCATCCTCCTCATTCCCAAGCTGGCTCCTCCCACTGACTTACCTGGTTCTTTTGGCGACACCGTCATTCTCCCCGTCACTGAGGATCCACCATCCCTTAGGTCTCACCATCACTCTTTCTTCCTGTGTCTTTTTATGGCTCTGTCTATTTCTCGTTCCCGCCCTTGCTTGGTTTCTAGTCCACCCACTCCCTGGTCTTCCTGCCTCCAGACTCTCCTCTCTTGGGTCCATTATATAAGGATGTCAGGGTAACCTTCCTAAATGACATTCTCCTATTGAAAGACGTGTTGGATTCCCAGGTTTTTTCATTGGCCAACAGGAAGTATCTCAGCCTGGCATTCACTCTGGGCCCTTTTTACCCTCTTTTCTTTGGTACATCCTGAGTGCCCACCCTTTCGTCTAGGTAGGGCTGTCTCCTCCATCCTCCATACATACTGGGCTTATTCCACCCTCTGAATCTTTGCCACTGCTTCCCCCCCCGCCTCTGCCCAAACCTACCCTCAGTCCTTCTGTCTGTATTCTCTCCATAATGAAAGATCATCTGAGGAGCCTCCTCTGGTCACTCCAGCTGCAGAGAGTTATCCTGTTCTGAACTAGACAGAACCACTCCTCTTTTGTGCTATTACCTAGAAAAGTACACAAGAAGCTGGGAAACAGGAGGAAGGAAAAAAGGACTTTTTCCTGTCTATCTTTCTGTTCTTGAATTTTATATTGTGTGTTTGTATTACTTATTCAATAAAATAAATTTTTAGCGTATATTTAGCAAATATATTTTTTAAACAGCAAATTACTCTGTATTATGCCTTAATTTTCCATGCGCGTGTGTATTGGTTTCCCCAAAGAACCTAACTCAGTGTAGTGAGTACCCAGTGGGAGCTCAGTTAAGAGCTGGGTGATTAAGTGGCTGGAAGGATGAGGGATGGAGGGAAGAAGGTGTGAGCAGAGTAGAGGCAATTTTAGGCCTGACCTGGCCTCCTCTTCCTGAGTAATTTCAAAACTAAAGGGAAGAGGATTGCTTTTGTCTTCTTAAAGATCCCTAATGGGGCTGGACCGGTGGCGCAGCAGTTAAGTTCGCACATTCTGTTTTGGCAGCCTGGGGTTTGCGTGTTCAGATCCTGGGTGTGGACCTATGCACCGCTTATCAAGCCATACTGTGACAGGTGTCCCACGTGTATAAAGTAGAGGAAGATGGGCACGAATGTTAGCTCAGGGCCAGTCTTCCTCAGCAAAAAGAGGAGGATTGCGGCGGATGTTAGCTCAGGGCTAATCTTCCTCAAAAAAAAAAAAAAAGACTCCTAAGAAAGGAGACAGTATACTACCCTGCCCCAGCTGTAGAGTTTTAGTCTGATAGTTCAGAATTCTTTCTGTCTAGGATTTTGTAGATAGAAAATCCTAAAGACTCAACCAAAGAACTGTTAGAACTAATCCATGAATTCAGTAAAGTTGCAGGATACAAAATTAACATACAAAAATCAGTGGCCTTTCTAAACACTAACAACAAATTTTCTGAAAAAGAGATCAATCCCATTTACAATCGCACCAAAAACAATAAAGTGCTTAGGAATAAATTTGGCCAAGGAGATAAAAGATCTCTACTCTGAAAACTACAGGACATTGATGAAAGAGATTGAAGAAGACACAAATAAATGAAAGGGTATCCTGCATTCATGGATTGGAAGAATTAATATTGTTAAAATGTCAGTACTACCAAAAGCTATTTATAGATAGATTCAATGCACTCCTTATCAAGATTCCAATGGCATTTTTTATAGAAGTAGGACAAGTACTCCCAAAATTTATAGAACCACAAAAGACCTTGAATAGCCCACGAAATTCTGCAAAAGAGGAACAAAGCAGGAGGTATCACACTTCCTGATTTCAAGCTATACTATAAAGCTGTAGTCATTAAAACAGTATGGTACTGTCATAAAAAAACAAAAATAGACCAGTGGAACAGATTGGAGAGCCCAGAAGTTTAACCCAAGCATAAAACAGTCAACTAATATTTGAAAAAGTGAGCCAAGAATACTCACTGGAGAAGAGACAGCATCTTCACTAAATGGTGCTGGGACAACTGGATATTCACATGTAAAAGAATGAAACTAGACCCCTATCTTACACCATTCACAAAAATTAACTCGAAATGGATTAAAGACTTAAATGTAAGACGTGAAACTCCTAGAAGAAAACGTAGGAAAAAAGCTCTTTGACATGGGTCTTAGTGATGATTTTTTGAAAATCACACCTAAAACACAAACAACAAAATAAAAAATAAACAAGTGGGACAACATAAAACTAAAAAGCTTCTGCTCAACGAAAAAAGACAAGCTACAGAATGGTAAAAATATATTTGCACACCATATATCTGATAAGGGGTTAATATTCAAAATATATAAAGAACTTATACAACTCAATAGCAAAAAAAAAAATCCAACTAAAAAATGGGCAAAGGACCTGAATAGACATTTGTCAAAAAAAGACGTATGAATGGCCAACAGGAACATGAAAAGATGCTCATCAGCACTAGTCATTAGGGAACTGCAAATTAAAACCACAGTGAGATACCACCTCTCGCCTGTTAGAATGGCCATCGTTAAAAAGATAAGAACTAACATGCTGGCGTGGATGTGGAGAAAAGGGAGCCCTTTTGTACACTGTTGGAATTGTAAATTGGTACAACCACTACGGAAAACAGTATGGAGGATCCTCAAAAAATTAAAAATAGAACTACCATATGATCCAGCAATTCCACTCTGGGAATATACCCACAGGAAATGAAAACACTGACTCGAAAAAATATCTGCACTGCCATGTTCATAGCAGCGTTATTTACAACAGCCAAGACATGGAAACAACCTAAATGTCCATCAGTGAATGAAGGAATAAAGAAGTTGTGAGATAAACACACACACACACACACACACACACACACAGTGGAGTATCATTCAGCCATAAAAAAACAAAAAGGAAATCTTACCATTTGCGACAATATGGATGGACCTTGACGGCGTTATGCAAAGTTAAATAAGTCAGAGAAAGACAAATACTATATGATCTTTGTTTATATGTATAATCTAAAAACAAAAGTTTTAAAAACTCGTAGAAAAAGAAATTGGATTTGTGGTTACCAGAGGCGGGGGATGGGGGGGGAGTTGGAGGAAGATCATCAAAAGGTACAAACTTCCAGTTATGAGATAAGTAAGTACTAGGAATGTAATGGACAACACGATGACTGCAGTTAACACTGCTGTATGATATGTTGTTGAGAGTAGACCTGACGAGTTGTTATCATAAGGAGAATTTTATTTTATTTTCTTCTTCCTGTATCTGAGATGATAGATGTTAACTAAACCTATCGTGGTAATCATTTCACAGTCTATGTAAATCAGACTATTATGCTGCACACTTTAAACCTTATACAGGGATGTACATCAGTTATTTCTAATAAAACTGGAAGGAAAGTAAAAGAATTTTTCCTGTCTACCACTCCCTACCCCACCCACAAAAATAACTGAGTAGAATGTAGGGATCATTTCTGCAGTTTGGGAATAGACGCTTATCTTCGTAACTCTGTATTATGAGCTCATGAGCATCGACATTCTGCCTAGAGTGAGCAGAGGTTTCTGGGAGAGAATCTTGACTTCAATTAAGAGATTCCCTCCCAGAGCCTTTGGGGTTTAACCTCCACTCCACCCCACCCCACCCCTGCCGCCTTGGCAATAGCTTTCCCCCAGTCCCTGTGACCACTAGAAATGTTGCCACACATTTCCAAATGTCTGGGGTAGCGAGAAGGCACACACACTCCCCTCAACCCCACAATCTAGGCTGTGCCCACCCTTAGGGTTCAGGGCTGGTATAGTGGGGCGAGGGGTCATTTGGAGATTAAACGTTATTAAGCAGTGGTGTTCATTAAAGGTAGTACTATGTTCAGACCAGGAAACATATGCCTTGCTTTACGTGATTTAGAAGTAGATCTTTGAAAAGTAATACAAATAGCACTAAGACATTATTGCCATTTTTTTAGTCCCCACCTTCTGGTGGTAAAACTTACATTTTCTATTTCTCTTGCAGAGCATGCTTGAGAAGGGAGGATAAAGTCAACTTGTAGAACAAGCAAAACTCCTTCAACGTTAATTCCAGAGGTGGAACATTTTTTTTCCTAGTAAGAAAGTAATCCATTTAAAGAGAAGACCATTACAGAGAAGCACCAGAGAGCAGATTCAACAGAAGCCTATCACCATTTGATCAGCGACGATTTGAAAAGCCAAGGCCTAGATCAGGGATCAGCCATCAAGGGCACGCTGCAGTGTTAGTAATCATTTATGACGATGAAAAGACAAAGGCAGCCCTCTCCACCTTTTGTACTTGCTGTGCAACTTTCTCCTCTCATCAAGCTCCATCGTTTGGTAAACTCACTCCAACAAAGCTTGGGGGCTGAGATGGGGGCCAAGGTAATTGGAGTGGAGAGAGGGGAGGGCAGAAAACCTCCAATTCGTGGCAGCAGTGCTGGGCAGAGTTGTCTAGGCTGTGTCATGTTGGGTTTCTCTCTTTTTATTTTCTCCCTTGACTATGTAAGAGCTATTTCATTTTTAACTTATTATGGTGATCATGTAAGTAAGAAGACAAAAAGGAGAGAAAATGTACCTCTTTTACTGGAATAATGTTTATGATTACAAGTGAAATAAGGCATTTTTTTATCAACATAAAGGCAGCCTTGGCTTATACAACCGCTTCTCCATCATGAATACTGACATCTTTACTTCAGTCACTATCAATAATAAATATATTTTCTGACAAAGACTGGCTTTGTAGCCTGGGGCCTCGCGTGTTCCTTTCTCTGGGTTAGATGGGTATGCTTATGGGAATTGAGTTGATTTATATTGTTATTAATTTGCATTTGTGCTGTACTGTTCCTCTAAAAAGCTCCAGAACACTTTGCAGAGCCTCACACAGGCAGGTAGGTAGGATTTACTAAGGTCTTGACAAATTGCATGAACCTTCCTTTCTTTGGGATGACATAAGTCATCCTGCCTGGGGCAAGAACTAGATTAGATAACCTTTGTTAGGAACTTCTGACACTGCAATACTATGAAGATGTGTTAAAAAAAAAAAAAAAAAAAAATTAACCCTGAGAGTTTTTCCTCTTTCCAATTCCATTAAAACTTTCTGATTATAGCTCTCACTTTTTTTACCAGAGGATAGGTGCTTCAATCTGGGATTTTGGTAAATTGGAAATTTGTATTCGCACTGAAACTAAATGGAAAGGCCTTTCCCAGAAACAGATGGAGGAGAAAATGCCAGGGCTCTGTGATGTCATCTAATTATCTTTTGTCATGTAGGATTTTTATTTCATTTTTGTCTTGTTACAGAGAGATAATTTAGCAAAATGATTAAGAACACAGGCTCTGGAATAAGGTGCATCTGTGTTCAGATCGTGGCTCTGCTACGTACCAGCTGTGGGACCTACCCAGGTCACCTCACCATACGAACCTCAGCTTCTTCCACTGTCAGTAGGCGGGGGGAGTGGAAGAACCTGCTTTGTAGGCTAATGGCGAAGGGTCAAAATGCTTTCCATATACATTTGGTCGGGTCCAATATATGTTTTGGTTTGTGTGATTATTCGGTAAACCTGTATTTGGAGTTGGGGCATGAAAAAGAGTATCCACATAACTTTTACTCAGAGAAAGTCGGCATGAATATAGCTTATGTTGGGAAAATTTCAACCAACCCCTTTAAATGTAAGTGTGGCTTCTTATTCATCTAAATTCCCAAGTTGGCTCCGTTTGAATGGCATCTTTGTGTACACCTGTGGACACACCTGTAAACCTGATGTCGATTCTGAGTGACATTGGGGACACTGCTACCATGATTACTGAGAGGCTCTGTGATTACTGTTTAATGATAATGGTTTTGGCTTTGTTCTTTTTCATGGTACAAAATAAACTGCGTTCGTTTAAGTGGGAAAGAAGGACGCACTGGTGACTTGAGCAGCACATTTTGGCACTGTCAGGATGGCATCCAGGTAACTGGGAGAAAGAATAGGGACATGAAAACAAATGTTTACACAATGACTTGCTGTAGTGTTTGCAAATCAGCTAACTCAAAAATTCCCTCCTATACTGTTTTGTTTTGCAATTGAGAGCCAAGAACTTGCTACATCCCAGGCTGCCAGTCTTGTCGCTGGCAGAGAAACGCAGCACTGCAGCGTCAGGCATTTAAATCCACGGGAATGAGAGGACGGTTTGTCAGGACATCTCTGTCCCAGCACGGGTTATTAATTTATCTTTCTCATAAGCATGGTGGATACAAGGGGGAAAGGCTGCACTTTTTGGAGAAATAAGGGTGAGATGATGCCTTTTTCTGCACCTCTGGAGTCCTCCCTGTTGATTATATCACAGCCCTGTCCAGGTCACTGTTAACTTTAAGACAAGCACTTGGAAAGAACGTTGTGATTCATACGAGGTTCATGGGAGTGACACGTTCCCATCAGTTAGTTTCTCTATTAAGCAGAACACACCTTGAACCACCGTAGTTTAGCTCATGAAGCCAAGAAGAGTAAAGTATCTTGAAAGCTGGTCAGATATTATCACACTAAACAAATATCTGGTGAACTACTAGAAGATAGCTGGGTCAAACCTGCACAAAGTCCTCTCTTTGGAAAATCAATAACATTACAGAAAACTTGCCAACATACAATGGTTTAAAAATTATTGGTTAATTGTCATTATTAGCAAGTGTGGACCAGTAAAAGCCAGACACCTGTGGACTGCTGGTCAACCCACGAGCCACCTCTCTACAGCCGCTCTCCGCGGTGTTTCGCTTAGAACTGAACAGGCAGCCAGATGTCCTCAGCTTCTCTGGCTGAGGAGTTGGGAACCTGTGGTTCTTAGCTTGATACCTTTCAGTTCGCAGATATAATTGCTTTTGCCAGAAACCTGCAGGATAATTCTCTTTCCCGCATTTCGGTGAGCTGTAGGTGCTGACCCTGTCATGATTTAAGAATTGGAGCAGTTGAACTATTGAAAGGGTACCAGTAACTGACTGTGGTTGTTCTATTTTGAGTTAATATTCTTGAAAACCGGTACTCTGAATGAGGAGTTAATGTTCATTCATTTTTTCTTGGTCTCTTCCATCTTTATCTCCTCCTGTAGCGTCTTCTGTGTGTTTAAACTTTCCAGCCCTTCTTGGCCTTTCAGGCCCACCTCCTGAGAGGTAACATGGGAGTGCAGAGGGCATTATCTTGGGTGCCAGATCCTGCTCTGGGTTCCACTGCTGTCGCCTCTTGGGCCAGGTCACTTCCCCCTCCAGTTTCTCACTGCCCCAGTGGCCTGCCCCAGCTCTTCTCCATTTTGATAAGAAGTCATTTTTGATGCTTCCTTTTCTTCCCCAGCCTCCTAAATCTTAAACTCATTGTATATTTAGTACTTCTTATCATTGAGTGGTTTCTTAATATTTGCAGTTCTTAATCTATAAACTAGGTAAATGAAGCTTTTTAAATTCTCTGAAAAAAACTAAATTTGTATTTGGTTCTCTGTGGTCTTTGATTGTATTTTTCCTATAGTTTATGATCCTCATTAGAACAAAAAAAATGGTTTCCCATCACTTGCCCCAGGGTATTTGCCCAGTGGACGGGGCTGTGTCCCTTCTGAAATGTCTCCCTAGAACATGCAGCCTTTTGTGCCAATGAGACTCACCATCCAAACCACCCTCAGAATAGGGCCCTTGGTGCTGATGCTGTTCCCTGCACCAGTCTGAACCGTACACGTGCTGGTTAACTCAGGTCCACTGTTTGTTTTTCAATTCATCACAGATAGTTGTTTTAGCCTCTCCTCCCACTAGGTCCTTAAAAGGATGCAAAACATTGCGAATTTCAGTTTTTACTTTCTTTCCCTTGACCCACCTAATGTGGGAGGTGCCAACAATGACTGAAACAATGTAAAGCAAATTAAAGGGAGGAGATAAGGGCACACTTAATTATCCATAAGATGGAACTTGATCACTGGCTTTCAGTGGTCAAGGCTTTGTGGAGAGAAGGGTTGGACGTTATTCCCATGAATTCCTTTTCATTCTCTAGTCTCTGTCATTCCAAATCCACTGTAATGTGAAAAGTCATTTTTAATTATTTCAATTTAGATGATCTAGAGCTGTATCCATTTTACTATCATCCCCAGCCTGCTCATGATCCGGGGAGACTGGAGTAGTCAGTCATTTTTCAGGTTCAGTGAAATGGGAAACGTCAAGGCTGCCCTTGTATATGAAGGAGGTTGACTCCTGCCCGGATCTACCTTGGAGAGCCCATCTGTGCTGCTCCCAGCGCTCTTTTATGAGTGATGGTGAATTGATTGCTAAGCACAGGGGACAAAGTAGACTTGTTCCCCCATCCCTGGAACGAGAGTCACCTTGCTCATCTGACAAGGTCCCTTACGCTAAGAATTTTGGCCAAAGCACCAGATAACTTCAGGAACTTTTAATTCCATTACCTTCCAAAGCCCAAAATCATTGCATCTTAGGTTTGGGAGAAAAATGACCAACCACCAAATTCACTCCCCTACATTCAAGCTGATGTCTGAGTGAAGAAGATGAAATGTTATATTTCATGTTGTGTGCCCACTCTCAGTTCTTCCAACCTCAATATTGCTGGCAGAACTCCTTAAAAAAAAAAAAGTTGAATTGCTTTGGGAGAGAAAGCAAAAGTCATCTTCCAACTCAAAAGCGTCTTCCAGTTTTCCTATCAGTTGTCTTGAACCTTCCAAATAGACCCACGGCCTTCTCTATGCCATGATAATACTTCCCATATTTTAGGGAACAGTCCAGTGTTAAACCCAATTTGGATTCAGAAAAATATGGTCACCATATTTATGCCTTTCAGTTAAGGAAGTTGGAAACTGAAAATTGAAACTATTAAGTTCAGTCTCTGAAACTCCCTCAAACCAAGTCAACTCTCAATGGAAAACAGCTATGCCTCAATTTAATGAAATGCTTCAAGCCTCTTGAAATGAGTTTGGTTAGGGGAGGCCTCCATACACTTCAAAGATTTTGCCATGCAGAAAAGCTTGCCTTCCCTCACCTCTCCAGTCCCCCTACATGGTCTCCCCTCTGTCTCTCTTGGGAGGATACTTACTGGACTGTGGCCACTATCACTTTGCTGAGAGGGCAGTCTGCTTTGAATATGACCCAGCCTTCAAAGTAAATTACATTTCCATAATGGCTTTTAAATGCAAATATGGAAGCCCGAGGTCAGTGGCCAAGTTGCAGGTTACCATTCTGCTCTAGCTATGCCTTTCCTTCCTAGACTTCATCCTGGCACCGGTAGTGGCCAGCCGGGCTGGACTCCAAGTGGCCCATATTTGGGGAGCCTCCTGCAGTGCCCTTCTCTGCAGGTCTGCCCTTTGGCCAGGCTGTTGCTGGGCGTCATCAGTGCCCACAGCACAGGTTGAAAGCACAGGCTCACTTTCTTTCTCCCTATCCATGGTGAATATATAAAGTAGGGGTCGAGGGCCAGATCACTGAGGCCAACTGCTGATTATCTACAACCTGTGCAGTCCAAGAGACAAGGGTAAAACCATTTTCTTCGTTTCATAGCCACAGGGCATGTTCCTCAGCATCAAACCAGAAACGCAATGCCAGCCTGCACCTTTTAGCTTTGCTTTGCATCTCCCTAAGGTAATGTGCACCCTCATCTCAGAAGCGTGACCACAAAGTCATTGAAAATATTATTCAACATAGAGTTGAAGTGGCAATGTCGTTTTATTTCAAGCTTGGAAGGCAGGCTGCAGAGCAAAAGCTGGGAACTCTGCTGT